ACAACACACCCCTCAAAAAAAAAAAAAAAAAAAGAAATCCTATATAGAAGAATCACTTAAGATATACCAAAACTGAGAATATCGTTGATCAGGAATGGCAACATTGAATTATGAATCAGATCTTTAACATTTGTGAGGGCTTCATGCCTTCAGTATTTGCCAAGTGCCAGTAGGTGCAAAGGCCTGACTTCATGATGGTGGTGAAGCAGTGAATAAGACGGCATTGCCTTGGGGCCAGCAGGCAGTGGGATGGTTAAGGCTACTGGACTCTCACATGGCCGAGATGGTTTTGAGTCCTGGATTCGCAGGCTTGAAAATCACGCCGGTACATGTAGGTTTGTGCCCGGAGTCCCAAGAGGAGAATGGAGAAGGGATTGTGGCATGGTCATCCCCCTCGGGGGTGATTGCTCACCTTCCTTCTCCCTGTCTCTGTCTGTCCTCTCTGGCAAGTGCATGTGCCCTATGGCAAAAACCTAAAAGAAAGATAGCATGGTCCTGCTTTTGGTGGTACTTGAGTCCAGCAGGGCATTGAACAAGTAATTAGAAGTATAAACAGTACTAAGGTGTTGTTAAGATGAACTGTCATTTGAGAAGATGAAAGAAGATGTCAGGTTTTTGCTTTCATCTCTTTCTTGGGGGGAAAAAGGTAGGAAAAAGCCAAAGTTAATGTCAGGAAATTGTCTGCGCTCCATTCCCAATTTTAAGTATTACCAACCCAGTCGAGCCACACTGGAGTTTTCCTTGACCTTGAGTTGTGACTTTATTACTACCATTAAAAAAACAAACCCACCACATGACAGTTTTCATTCATTCCCAGCTAAGTAAATGTTCCTTTTCAATGACAGATGGGTGCTGGCATTCCTTATCTTCTTCTGATAATGGAAACTAGCCCTCCTTAAAAATAATAGAGAGATTGTGGTTGACAGGACATTTACCTTCTCTTAGTCCTGTTTCATAACAGCTTATTATGAACATGGCATTTTTGGGCATCGGTGAGATGTATTGATCTTCAGCGTAATTCCAAATAAAGTCTAGGTCATGTTTTCCTTGAAATTCGTCTCTATAAAACCAAATCAAATGTGCTGCTGAGACAGCAGGAGGAAATGGAGATTCCAAAATGCAAACATTCTATCAAATGGTCGGTTGCCTAAGCACAAACTTTTCCATTTTCTGAGGGTCGTGGACTATCCAGACCTGCAGAAGAGACCGTGTCTCAAGTAAGATTTTACTATGAGACTAGTACTGGAGCACAAGTGCCGGGACCGCTCAGCAGAATGCATTTTCAGATTGGGCCGCTCAGCAGAATGCATTTTCAGATTGGGCCGCTCCACAGAATGCATTTTCAGATTGGGCCGCTCCACAGAATGCATTTTCAGATTGGGCCGCTCTCTACATACAAGTTTTTGCAACTGAGACCTATCAGATCCCCAAATACAATCAGTGGAATTCAGATTCTACCAATTTAAGATTTATGAAGTCCTGAGGCCGGCAGGTGGTGTGGTGGTTAAGGGTGCTGGACTCTCACATGGCTAGCCATGGTTCAAATCTCAGACCTGGTGACTTGCTTTCTCACTTTCCCTCTATTTCTCTCTCTGTCCCTCTCTGGCAAAATAAAAATAAATAAAGTTAAATAAAAATAATTCTTTAAAAGAAAAACAATTTATGAAGTCCTAGAAACCAATGGATGTTTACTTTTCTACTTCTCTGAGTAACCATCCAAGAGACAGGACCCTTTATGAGTACAAACTAAACTGCACATGGCTTGATAAAGCTAAGACTCAGGTAATTCTGAAGATTAAAATATTTAAAACAATATGCCAATTGCAAATAAATAAAATATGTTCATTAAAATTGATCCCCAAAGACTTTTTCTATTTTTTTTAATAAAGGCCAAGAAGCCTTTACTTTTGTAAGAATAACTGAGTTTTAGATTGGCCCTGTTGCCCTAGTGGTTAAGGGAGCCAGATCCCATGATTCGAACCCTGGCTCTTTGCCTAGAAAAACAGGTGCATGTATGTGCGCCCATCCAAAATCCCAACAATATGGAGAAGTGGAAGAGAAAGGATTATGGCATGACCACACTCCATTGGGAATGGTTCTTTCCCTCTCCGTCTCTCTAGTGAGCTCATGCACCTTCTAGCAATTGAAAATAATAATAATAATAATAATTTAGTTTCATGAATTCACATCACCTTTCCCTCAATTAATTGGAAAATAGTGAGATTTTTATAGATGTTTGTATACATCTTGCTACACATTCTGGCTGTTCAATGACAAAGGCTTATCTCCTCACTAATTGTGGTACTCTCAGGACTCTAGAGATACCGAAACATGACAGAGGTCACTGGATTGCAGGATTTTCAGGACTTTATTCTCAAGTGGCACCCAATACAGTAATGTGAGGAAGAGTAAGGTGTCATTCAGGCCTCACCCAGGAAAAGGGTTTTTTGCATTTCTTGTTTGTCTGTATTTTCTAATGAGAGAAAAGGAATGAGAAAGAGCAAATACGTGAGCATGAACAGGAAGGAGAAAGAGGTTTTTTTTGTTTATTTTCGCTTTTGTTTTTAATTTGCCAGAGGGCATATGTGCTCACCAGAGCTGGGGGGGTCAGGTAAGAAAGCACCTCACCATGGAGCATGGTCATGCCACAAGCCCCTCTCCTGCATTTCTCCCTCGTTTTGGAATTTTGGGTATATGTGTATATGTGCCTGATATATTTCTCAAGCTTCAGGGTCTGGGACTAGAACCTGGCAGTTGGGCACTGGGACCCAGCCACATTATCCACTATCCATGAGCAGTCCAAGAGGTAATTTTTTTAATTTAGTTATTTGCCATAGGGTACATGTGCTAACTGGAGAGAGACAGAGGGAAAGTGAGAAATCACTCCCTGAGAAATCGCCACATCATAGTTCTTTCTCCATTCTCTTTCTGGGATTTTGAGCATACACTCACATACACTGGTATGATTTTCCGGGTCCAAGACTCGAACTGCATTCAGCCATGTAGGATCCAGACACCTTAACCTCCATGCTCCCTGCTGGCTCTCTGAGAGGTTATTTATTTTTTTTTTTTTGGGGAGGGTT